AAAATTCATCTTAGCACTACACAAAGCAAGCATCCACTTACCTTATTTAGAAATCTCCCTTTCTTCAGTCAAACAAAATTCCTTAACAGCATCCATAAACTTCCTAAAATTATCGGAAATAGAATGTGTATATTGGCAACGCCACATAAATCCACAAAAATATCCTCCGTATTGGTGGTAACCTCCGACGTTCGACCATGCGCATTTCCTTCATATAAACAGGACACTTATAATATCTTCTGAGTAAACCTTCATTTACACACCACTCAATTAATGCTCTTTTCCCCTTTCGTTTCGAATCGCACAGAAACTTCAAATTAATCTAACCACGTTCAGCCATTCTACCGTTTGAACCACAAATCAAGCAATACATATTTTAAGTTTATTAAAAATTAAAAAATATCAGCATATTTTAAGTTTGGTAAACAATATCAACACACGAAGAGAAAACATAATTTAGCAATTTAAAATACCAATTTGAATTTTTAAATAAGGATTATATCATATATTCAAAACAAAAACCACGTTCTTCTTCGAGTCTTTCAGTAATTTGTTTTTTCGTTATTCTTCTCCTGAAGTGCTCAGCGATCTGTTTTCACTTAAAAAAAAAGATCACAGAATTGCAGTGACATGGCTTCGTGCAATCTACGGCAACGGCTAATTAGAAAACTCATTTCGTCATTTCTCTTTAGAACATTTTCAGCAAAATACTGTACGGCTGCCGAAAATTTTTTCTAGTTTCTTCCATTGCTGGCGAATTCCACAAGCTCATACTTTGAAACCAATTTTGAAGCAAAAAATATCATGATTTGTGTATAAAATATGTTGAAACTTAGAATACAAAAAAATAGGATGCACACGAAAATGATGACGTTTTTTAACTGAAACGATTATTATGGGCGTGGTTGCCGGAAGAATGGTCAAGCGCATGGTTGCCAGAGTTTGGCACTTTTTGAAAATTTGGCTACTTCTACTATGATGGTTTCGATAGTACGTATAAGTACCCTTGGAATATAAAAACAAATAAACGCATGTTAAATGGAGATGTTGCTTGACCAACGACTGTTATCAGCATCATACCTGAAGAATGCTTAGACACATTGTTCCCACAATTTGACACGTTCTGAAAATTTGGCGACTTCTGCTAAGATATTTGCGATGACTCGTAAGTACAGTGTTTCCTGATCTGAAAGTTTGTCTTCTATTAAGAAAAACCTCTAGCAACAAACTTAGTCTTGTAAATACTGTCATGTTATATGCAAAGCCAGCTGAATGTTTAAGATGAGAAAACAACATTAGTTTAAAATTTTTCTCGTACAGCAACATAAAAATCTTCACAAGCGAAATTCGTATATAATGATTGCTAACATATTATACATAATATAGAATATAAGGTGCAGTAAAATAAATTTCAAAATAATATTTAAAATTTTCTTTTAGATACTTGCAAAGCTATTTCATCTAAAATATGTACATTAGACGAATCTTAATTTCTTCTGTTACTTCCTTTATATTACTTTAACTATTCCTGCAGTGTCTTTCCTTTCTAATTTTCATTCCGTAAGGTGTTTCAATTTATATTTTTAAACACTACTTTCAAATATATATGCATAAGACACATTTTCTGTGCACGTACATAACTGGTATTAGATTTAAATTATTTTACTTGCAAGAATCAGAGGTTTTATAAGAAACCTTACCAAACTTAATTTTCAAACGATATTTTATAATCAATAGGCGAAAAACTACATGTTGTAAATAAGTCGCTAAAATATATTAACATTAGATATAAATGAATAGTTAGATCTTTAATACAATGGATTACATTCATATATTTTATTTTTATTATGTATTGAGGGCATTATAAAGCACTAATTCTAAGCGACCGAGAAAAAATTTAAATTACTAAATTTTAGAGTAAGTGAATAATAATATATTTAGTTAATATACATTTTCTTTTTGAAAAACTGTAAAATGCACTTATTTTGTATTATACTAATTTGAGTTTAAGCGTAATACGTAAAATTGTGACCTCGATACCTATAGACTCCTAAGTTCTTTTAAAGTAATGCCATTAGAAGACCAGACAGATCCTTTCTTTATTGATATTATTGATTTTGTCTTTTAAGTTAAGAGCTTTATTTTTTATTATTTTATACCCTTAGAAATTCAGTGCTGTAGCAAATATCGATTTATTGACATATCATAAACAAATGGAGTTTGGAAAACCGTATTTTGTATTATCTGTAACTATTAAAATTTTCATAAAGACATATCAAGATGAAACTGCAATGAAAATGAATTTAGATATTTGTTTACATTATCTTTACATAGTTTATATCTCGAGATAAAATGCGTTTAATCTTCAGTGTCTAAATCCATTCACTGAAACTCTCACTTCAGTTTCGAAATTAAATGTCTAATATCTTATAAGTAATCATATCCTTATACTTCCTATTTAATATACTGTTAGACAAAAAAGACGCACCAAGAAAGGAGTTATCCGAATGGGACGAAAATCGCTAGAAGTGATGTACATGTACATAAAACCAAATGATTACAGTTTGAGAAAAATTAGATGATTTATTGAAGAGATAGAGCTTCACAAAGTGAAAAAGTCAGTAACGCGTTTGTCCACCTCTGGCCCTTATGCAAGAAGTTATTCGGCTTGGCATCGATTGATAGAGGTTGCGGATGTCCTCTTTAGGGATATCATGCCAAATTCCGTCCAACTGGCGCGTTAGATCATCAACATCCGGAGCTGGTTGGCGGGCCCTGCCCATAATGCTCCAAACGTGCTCAATAGGAGAGAAATCCGGCGACCTTGCTGGCCAAGGTAATGTTCGGCAAGCACTAAGACATGCAGTAGAAACACGTGCAGTGTAGGGGCGGGCATTATCTTGCTGAAATGTAAGCAGAGGGTGGCGTGACATGAAGGGCAACACAACGGGCCTTAGAACTTTGTCAACGTACCGCTGTGCTGTAAGGTTGCGACGGATGACAACCAAAAGAGTCCTACTATGAAATGAAATAGCACCCCAGACCATCACTCCTGGTTGTCGGCCTGTCTGCCGGAAGACGGTCAGGTTGGTATCAAAACGCAGTCCGGGGCGTCTCCAGACTCGCCTTCGCTGGTCATCGGGGCTCAGTTCAAAGCGGGACTCATCACTGAAGGCTATTCTACTCCAGTCAGTGACATTCCAATGCGAATGAGCGCGACATCACTGCAAACGGGCTTGACGTTGTACGGAGGTCAATGGTAGTCGGCTCAAGGGGCAAAGTGACCTCAGTCCCCTTTCTGTGAGCCGTCTATGAATAGTCCTTGCGGTCACTGAAGCACTAGTTGCACGTAAAATCGATGACAATGGTGCATATGGGGCTGTGAGGGCCGCTCTGACGATTTTTCTTTCTTCACGTTCTGTCGTTTCTCTAGGCCTACCGCTTACTTCTTGACGCTGTGTGCGGCCATGGTCCACCCATTCTTCCCAACATCGTCTGATAGTGGCATCGCTCCCGCTCAAATGTCGAGCTGTTCGCCGATAAGACCAACCGGCTTCTTTGAGCTCAACTACACGACCTCTCTCAAATTCCGACATCTGCGCATATCGTTCGCGCACCTGCATGCGAGACATAATTACTGTCTACCAGAGTACACGGAATGAAACTCATGAAGAATTTATGACCTGGAATCGTAATCTCTCCTCTTTAATATCCTACCAGTTGCGCAGATCAGATGCACTGTAGCGACAACCGTTCATTCATTGGCAGCCAAAATGTAAAGTTTTGCATTTTCCGTCGAAACCTGTATGCATATCAATTTGTGTCCAATCTGCTTTATATCTACTCGTTTTTTTTTTTTTTTTTTTTTTTTTTTTTTTTTTGGTCTAAGAGTGTATAATAGAAAATTTCCTTTTTATGGTGTTGCTCATATATGCTTATATTAATTCCTTAAAAAATATGCATCTTTGGTAAAACTGTAACAAAAGTATACCCTTGAATTTACCATATTTATACTTTCTGTCTCTGAGGAAACAGAAGAATCTGCCCATGTTCGAGACATGAGAAAAAGCATCGCACTCTTCTCAGCAAAAGCATCGTTGAAAAGAGAAATTAATGTGTCAAAGCGCAAATGCTTTAATAATTTTATTAATAGCATTGATTTTAGAAGAGATGGAAAGAGAGTATTTCGTTTTTAAACAAATTAAAAACTCTGTCCCTAAAGCGGTAAAATAATCCATGATAATCTTTAATAAGAGTGTCTCTAATGTCAATTATATTGCTAATTCTTTTCCGAAGTCTTATGCTGGCTCTCAACGATTGGAAACTGATTTAAAGAAGGATCAACGCCATACTAGACGAAATGTGAAGTCTCTCCTACAGAAAAATAAACCAATACATTCGGTCTTGTACAACAGTTTTTCCCTGGTGGAATTCATTGAGGCTATTTGTCCATTAATGTGTGACAAAAGCCCAAGACCGGATAACATCCATGCCGATTTTCTGAAGAATATGGGACCTACTGCTCGTTTGGCTTGCGCTACTGAAGAGAAGCTGGCACAGCGGTGTTCCCTCTACTTGGCTGAAAGCTACTGTTATTCCTATTTTAAAGAAGAATAAACCTAGTGATCAAATTAACAGTTAGAGACTTATTTCCTTGACCTGTATCTTGGATAAGGTCATGGAGGGCATAGTTACATCAAGATTGACTTGGTTTTTGGAGTGTAATAATTTATTACCTTCTGAGAAGACCGGTTTTAGAACTTATGACTGTACAGCTCAACAAAGCCTCTACTTTACCCAAGACGTAAAGGACTCCCTAAATAAACGTAAGGCCACCCTGGCAGTCTTTGCGGACGTTAAGTCCGCCTACGGCAGAGTCTGTCGCTTATTGAAAAATTCCACTCTTGGTGTAGAGGACAAAATGGAGTGCCATTGCTTATGGAATTATTGAAAAAAGTTATGCCTTTAACCTCTGAACTCATATTTACACTGATGGCTCCATGACTGAACGAGTTACTGGAGCTGGTGTAGGAATCTATTCTAACCAATTTTTATCCTATAAAGGAGTGGGAAGAGATACTACCAATTTTGATGGTGAAGTTAAGGCTATATTTTTTGCTCTGAATCAATTAAGCTCTCGGAAGAGTAGTTTCCCTGGGGTTGTTATTTTGCCCGATAGCAAAGCCGCTTTGCAGGTTATCTCCTCCATGTTCGCACTTCCGAACGAATTTACGAATATAGAAAGATTTTCAATTCAGATTCTGGCTGACTCAATTGTCTTGCAGTGGATACCTGCTCCTTGTGGCATCGAGGGAAATGAAAGAGCTGATTTTCTGGCAAAGAAAGGAACGACTTATAAGCCACTAATAACCATATGACGTTTAATTCTGCAAAACTCCTAATTAAATTAGAATTTAAGAGAAGGTTTCTCCCAATACCTGTCAAATGGATCTAAGGGATAGGCCTGGGAGTGTTTCACTAGTTCAAAGCCAGTTATTCCAGATTTTCCTCGTCCTGTAGCCGTGGTGTTATTTCGTCTTTTGACTAGGCCCGATTATCGGAATGCCAATCTTCTTAAAATTCGACTTGACTCTTCAGTCTGTACTCTTTGCAACTCTGGACAGTCCATGAATAAGGAGCATATTGACGAATGCACTGCACTATTATCTTTCAATGCTATTGTTCTTAGGTATTGGGAAGCAAGATCAAGACTAATGCCTAATGTGGCTTAGGAGCCAAATGTCTGGAATTTGTATAAATAAATATTTTCCGTCTCCTGTTAAGCTTCGATCTAAAATTTCTCATTCATATAAGGTTTAGTTTTAAATGAAAGATATTAATTAATAAGGACGAAGCTTAGATATCTGTAAAATTTTAATTTAGAATTAGATAAGACTTTTGCCATATTCTACTACATAAAACTTTCTTGTTACATCAAAAATGAACATTTTATGTAATGAAACACTCTAGTTTAATTATTTTAACTAATTATTATTTAGCCCACCAATAGCTGTGTGTAAAAAACGATTGAACATATGTCATTAAAACCGCGATTGAATTCACCGCATTCGCAACATAAATAGGAGCCAAATTTTCTCAAAACAGTCTCCGCGAAAACACTCTTAAGCAGTTAGTCTTCGTGAGTTTCGCAGAGATAAAGAAAATAGTATGTACAGTATGAGTTAGATTATGCAGTGCAAGAAACGTCAATAACCAACCATTTCCTTGCCGAAATACGAATAACAGATATTCCGAGGTAAAATACCAGGTTCTCGGTGTTTCAGTTTAAAATTACTAGATTGGATTGCTTGGTGTAAATATAGACTTAAACCGCGAGAACACGTAACAGGAATGGGATAATTTGTTATAAATTTTATCTCGGCAACTCTATTTAGGCACAAAATGTATTCAAATTATATATGGAATATATATCTATAACGCCACTTGATTCCGATTTTCAGTAAACTAGACTTTATTAGGTACTTACTTGTTAGATTAACTTCCTTGGCGCTGGCTATATTTTACAAGACAAAAGTTAATTTGGTGATTTTTTGGATTGCAGCACACAACAGATATGATTACCTAAAGGGTTGTTATACACATAGTTGCCAGAATTTGGCCAGAATTTACTCAGAAATTATGTGAAACCGCATTGCATTATTTCGCTAATACATTCTCATTAGAACTGATGAATTTAACCCTTGACCGTTTCCTATATTTTCGCCTTCGGGTGAGCGGTATGATTGCATCCAAGTTACCGCGAATGGCCTCAGGGCATAAAATTAAACTATCTGGTAAATGTTTATGTAATTGTATGCTAGTATTGAAAGAAACAACCAATTTGATAAGAAATGGCTGGGACTTGTTTTGAAAATGAGGCGTGAAAAGTTACCAGCGAAGAAATTCCGTTTGACATCCGTTGTATCATTTTTGGCGACTTTATTGCTTGCGCCGGCAAAATGGCTTGGTCTGGTTTTGTTTATTTATATTATGGCAAAGCACACTAAGTCTATCTGTCTAAGGGTAGGGATGCCTTCGTGGGGGACTTTCTAAGGAAAACTGGCTCGTATACACGTTACAAATGGAAAAACCACTAAAACGCCCATGCAGCCAGCCCGTTCGCGGGATTCGAACCTCCGACCGAACTACCAGTGTTCAGCGACTTAACCGCTCGGCCGATCGTGGGCCCCGGCAAAATGGAAAAGTACCAGTATTGTATTAGCTAAATGTAAGACAGACTTCCCAAAAATGAAATAATAGTTAAAATGACACAAAGTAAGATCTTAAATTAATATGTAATACCCAAGTTATACTGACAATAAAAATATGTTTTACAAGCGAAAATATTTATGGACTTTAGAGAAAAATGCAATCAGCAAGTTTTAGGTGCAGCACATTATTCATAGCATAGATGAATCAAATCAAATCATAATTCTTTCTTAAATATACATGATGCTGATGTCCGTATTCATACGGAAAGGAAGCTTGTAAATACGTCACATTCTCATTTAATGTGAATAATGCAATATATTTTTCCATTTACAGCCTTAGATAACATGTAAATAATTAGAATTTAAAACCAAGAACTAGCGACATCCAGCTAACAATTTTTAAAGTAACAGTGATATCACATACAGAAAATCTAATTATGATTGATTTCAATGAATATAAAATAAGGCTGAACATTCAAACAGGAAACTCCCTTTACTTCAAAAAGAAACTGAAAAGATGAAAAATTTGCTCTTCAACAATGCAGATGAAATAAATATACTGTAATTACCAGTGGACATCCCATCTGAAACCATTAGTCGCAAGCTTAAGAGTTTTAATACTACCTCCATTTTAATCAAATCATTTTGCTGAAGATTGCATTTCTTTTCTGCAACAACAACCGCATATTTTTGAAAATTTATAATTAAAGTTAAAGACAAAACGCAACCGTCTGCATTAATATTCATGACTAGCACTGCTATAAAGAGGGCAGAAAAGAAATTATTCAATCCAAGATCCAAATCTCTCATAATTAGGAAAGACACACGCAATGCCCCGTTTTCCTTGCGGTTTTCATTTTCTCCAGGCCTTCGCGTTTTAGCTGGCGAGCTCAACAAGCAGTGAACAGTCTTACTGAAAGCTACGTCTACTAGCGTGACAGTACGTCATTGGTACACGTGACGCTTGATTGAGATGCACGGATTTTGCTTTTCGCCACTCTCTTTTTACAAAGCTGTCGTTCGCTTTAATATTTTCATTTTCAGTTTTTTTTTTCCTCAAGTTAACTGTATATGGTTACATTTACACGAAACTGCGAAAGCTCACGTGAATTGATTTTAGTAGAAGAGTTTACGGAGAAGAATGTGTATCATGGAAAGTGCAGTTTTGAAGTTTGAAAATATTTTTGTTTTAGCCATTGAAGAAAAGCTAAAGGAGGAAGCTTCTCCGAGCCTAAAAATAAATATGTTTTATGAATAAATTAGCTTTAAAGTACAAGTTCAGATATTAGTCTATCGGGCAAGAACTAGAACAAAATGCAAATTCACATTCATATGCTTTTTCGGAAAATGTTACATTCAGTTTATAGAACATTTATTTAACACCGAAGTAAGCTGAATAACATCAGCAAAGAAACGACTTAACGTTTAAATGAAACTGTCAGCAATTTTATGGCTACAAATTTTCGCCACGATTTAACCACTGAAATCACTCATTAATAATTATAGCGATTTTAGTGGTTACGTTCTGGTGAAAATTTGTAGTCGACAAAATGGTAAGTCGACTTTCTCAGACAATGATGGCTCTGAGAAAGGCAATCGCACTAATTTGTGCTCATGACTACACGTATATGTTATTAGTTTTTTAATACTTGCTTAAATGTATTTTTTGGAGTAACATAAGTTGCAAATGAAAAGCAGAAGATAAGTTCAGTAAGAAATACAACAAAATCCATATTTAACAATAGCTCCAACAAATAGAAGAGGTTACGTTTCGCAAAATAAAAGAAACCAGAATAATTCTAACAAGAAATGCCATATTAAAATATAATATCATAATTACATCATCATTATAGTCTAACAATGAAGTAACAAATTTTATAATCAGAAATCATATCGTCTTAAATATTAATAAAACGTATTTAGCAAACATCTATCCTCAGCGGCTGAATGGTTGACTATTTTTTAATATAAAAAGGTAAATATTAAAAGGTTTTCATATTAAAACGTAAAATACCATTAAAAGATATTTTATAAGGGGTTAAGAAAAGCAGAATTACCGTTTACATTGCAATACAACTTAGCAAAAATATCTTACATTATAGTAGATTTGAAGATGAGAAATAAGCGATTTTTATACTCATAACATTTAAAAAAAAATTTAATAATTTTTAATGTTCCTAATTTAATAGGAATGATTTTATTGTTTAAATTATTTTTATACCTTATACTTAGATCAATAAATACAAAGATTTAGAGAATTCACATCACATTTTTCAATATAACTATTTCTGTAGTCAACGGCATATAGGAATTAGTTTGGGAAAAATAGTTCTGCATTTTATCGAGCTAATCTATTTCTTAGTAGTTTAAATCTTTTCATTTTTCTGCTTACCCTACATTCAGTTAAACTAAATTCTTAATGTTTCTGACATATTTCTGTGTCTACACCCCTGAACTATAACGAGTAACCAGATAAAATTTCCATTTTTAAAATGTTTGAAATTTTTCCCTTTTACTGTAACAATTGTTCTTCTTTTTAAGACTATGTTACCTTGTTTATTCAAATTAATATGGTTACTAAATTTTATGTATTATTTTTTTTCCTGATGAATTTTCACTTATCTTTATGAAATGAAGTTATTTAATGTTAGGTATAAATGCAACCTCAGTTCGGCGTAGATTTTGAAGAAAACTCAACAGATTTCGAGAGCGATCAGACGCAGGTCCCTCTTCTTCAACAGTAACAAAAAAACTTTTTCAAAATCGGTGTAGCTCTCCGAATACCAGTATTTGACTGAAACCAATGGGAGTACGACCGTGGCTCCATCTCTCGAGGAAATGAATAATAAAACGTTAAAAAATAAAAACATAAGAGTTCTATAAGTGTTAGCCTAAAGAAAACAAATGTTAGTAAATATGAAAAACTTTAGAGATAGCTAATTCACCAGCTGAAGAAGCGTTTTGTGTAATTTTTGCAGATCCAAAATCAAAATTGTAATCAAGTGTCCCCCTAATGACTAGCTATCGAAGATCCGTTTATTTCTTCTTTTCGATCCGAAGATTCGTGTTGTTGACTCAAACTATTAACGCTGGTTACTTTTTGCCAAATAATGACAAACCACACTGACCAGATATGCTATAATTTCCCCAAGAATTAAAATAAGAAT